ATGTGGTCGACAGGGAAGTGCTTGCCTACAGGCGTTGAGGATTGGCAGAACACATCACGGTGCCCCACCTGGCTAAATTTCTGGCAGTGGTATTGCCAAAACGTGCAGTCCCGATGGAAATGCCACGTGCTACAGTGCTGATAAGGAGAGGGCGGGGATTTCGCCTTGGGGGCTTGCTTGAGCTGCGAAACCGGAGGTGGCTTAGCTGCTGTGACCACAATGACTGAACCCGTAGGAGAAGCGCCTTAAACCATAGCCGCATCTTGCATGAGATGTATTAGTGCTTGATATTCGGTAGCCAGTTCTTGAAGGGTAACTGAGCTGCTCTGTTGCACGTGGGACAAAAGACGTGTCCAAATGTCGGCATCCTTGGGGAACTGGCGGCCGCAGATTAAGCTAAGGCATTTAAACTGGTCTTCTGTGAAAGAGCCGAGTTGTAAACGCTCCCACTCTCGATTCACAATGCTGGAATACGTGATGAAATCGTCGAATTCCCGTTTGCACAGCTGGAGGCACTGAAAGTGAATGTTGAACAATGATGACTGCTCACCTAAAACCTGCGACAACGTCTTCAGCGTGTCCGCGGAGGAAATGTTCCGTGGATTCTTCGGCAGGATGAAGGTGGCATAATATTCGTGCTCGGCAGGACCCAGTTCGCGAAGGAGGAGTCGTACCTTCAATGCGTCTTCCTGGGCAGCCAGATCGACAGAGAATAAATCCTCGTACCATTTGTACCAGGAGTCAAAAGTAAAATGGGCCTGCGGATCATACAAGAATTCTATGACGCTCCTGGCGATGGAATCAATGGATTGTGAGCCACCAGCAGACCTCGATTTGCACGTAGATGAAGTGGAGAGCTTGGTGGTGAGGGTTTCCGTCAGCTTCAGCTGCTGTAGCAACATAAGCTTCAAGTCCACGCACAATGCCTACATCGTAAGGTGAAAAACTGTGGCGCCAATTGTTAAGACCCGCTCCTAGTACTTCTAGCTAACACGAACGCTTTACCAAAGAGTCCGTACGAGGGAGAAAGAGAAAAGACCAGTCGACCAGAGGGAGAGTTCATTTGCCCAGACATCAACCTTAAGCAAGTCAACACAAGTCTTTGAGAGTAAAAGGTACAAAATATTTAGGTCAACAAACGAGTGTAAACTAGGTCCTTCGAGCCAATCAACTTCTGTCCTGGCTTGGCTACCAGCACGATTGGCTGTGACTCAGCGACCGAATGCAGTTTAAATTTTAAATTATTGATTGCCTGTATGAGTTCGCCTCGTGTAGGCCGATCGGTAGCCTGCTGTGAGTGCGGCTGCTTGCTGCATGCACCGAACAACTTATGGGTCGAAGGCAAACAAGCCTCCATGTTTATGTTATCAGACATTTTCGCGATACTGGGAACGTCTAAAATAAGTTTTCTTCTCAGTTGTCTATAGAAAAGTGAATCAAAGTAAGTCTGATCATTCTACACGTATATGAAGAATTCTTAATTCCGTTGCACTTGTTCAATATTCCACCACCCTTCCTCAGCCGGAGAATAACTACCAACATTTTCATAGTCACAACTTACTGTAATTTACTTACTTAAGCCCACCGGAAGAGTTCAAAGGAAAAGATAAGGAAAGCTTACCGAGTTTGTGCACTTTGCCCTTTGGACTACTCTTCCACACTCTTCTGATGGCACTCCTTTCGCAGCTGTCTAAATGCCTAGATCTTAATGGAATCCTGTTTTTTGGGAAGGTTGCCAACCAACTTCCAAAGCAAAGACTATATATTTCGATAAATAAATAAAAAATTTATATTTTAGTCGTCAGTGGACACCACAAAAACAAACTTAGTACTGTGGTAAAACGAGGAAAATGCGCACATTCGTGCCGCGTGAGCAGCCAAATAAACAGCAGAAATGATTAGTATGGTCGGCAGAGTGTTTCACATCCGCCGGTGATTCGTCTTTTTAAAGCAATAGTTAACAAGCATTAGAGAATATGGTGAACTATGAGAAAGGCAGCAAAAGCTCCTATGGTGAAGTGGGTAGCAAACTTCATCAAGCCCCCACTTTCAAAAAATGTAGGAGAGAATATCTGCTCCGCGAAGAGAACTGGAGAAATCGGCTAGATTGGTATGATACAGGGAAATAGAACAGTGCTGTCGTGGGAGATATCATATAACAGCAAGGTTTACAGTCCACCAACATTTAACTATGCGAGCTAGAGGACCACTCATCCGGGGCGAGATAGGAAGCTTGTTGCGGGTGCTGCAGCTCACCTCATCCAAACG